AAACCTAAGCTATAAACTGACATAAATTTTCTGTATACTTATTATGTACGTTTTTGCGTAATTAATATATTTAGGGGGTCCGATACTTTTGTCCAGGTACTGTATATTGCAAAAAACGAATTTGAAAACACTATGATTAAATATATCGGAAAGGTGTTGATGGACTTGTAAGTTAATTTTTAATAATAGTATTTATAATGTTATTCTAATTCATGTGTCATACTAATAATCAATTTATTATTAGCATCCACAAAATAATTGATGTGTCCAGCTATATTATGCATATTGATACTGTTGAAAGAGATTGGATTGTTAACAAAATATCTCTATTGTTTATTTATCTCGAGGCAACATTATTAATAAAATACAATTTCACTGGTAATTGGTATTTTTAAGATTTTTTTTGTAACTTATAAATGTAATTACTTATGTACTCAAACATATAGGATTGAATAGATATTGAACCTACACATCAACATCTTGTTATTGAAGACAATACATCAAACAAAGACCAATAAAAGCTGATATAGTTGGTGTCCGATTGTCAGATAATCATCAGGTTATATTTTTAGAAATGAGTGGAGCTCCTACTGATTTTTTAAAAAATCATCCAAACAGTGATGCAAATAAAACACTCCAGGAACGAATGGACTCCTTAAATTCTGTTCTCTTAAATTTCCTTTGCTATGATGTTAGGTTTGTATGGAAAGTTCATTCTTTAAGTATTCAAGGAATAAGTGAGTATTATTTTTTGATTGCTGCTTAAATTAAAAGTAGATCACCATTCATATCTTTTTGTTTATTATGTGGTAAGGGGATTGCCACACATTAAGGTGATTATCCTTAAGAGGGAAAGATGACTATGTTGATGAAGAAATATTATCAGCAGTTTTTCCACTTAGCTGGGATTTCCACTTCCGATTTCATGAAATATTTAACATGATGGAATACATAATACTATCTGTCATGGAATATTCCAATGTCGTAAAAGAGTTGATAAAGCACCCAGCAGATTCACAAGAATTTTCTATTCGATACTGTATCACTTATAAATAGATAACTTGGTACAACAGTTATTCATTAACAACTTTGGAATATTAGAAATTTTATTATAAAAAAAAAATAAACTGAGAATCTTTTCTCTTATTACATTTATCCTAATTGCAAAATTGGTAACCTTCTCAATCACTGACTCAAGTAGAATAATAATATATTATTTAATAATTTTTAAATTTTGATCGTGACTCAGGGTATAGGAAGCATCTATTAATGTAAATGATTTCCCGCTCAAAGGAATTTACAAGAGTATTTAAAGTTTACTTGGTAAGATCCAATTCTTGGATATGGGTTTTCGTAATACTTGAGTTGATCCCATGCTAAAATTGAGATCACCTCTATGAAAGAATTTATATTTTTCATAGCTAATTGCGAAACCACATATTTTATTACATAAGTAAAAAATAACTATTTATTAACCATCTACAGTCCACTCTCTCTATAATGAACCTCTCTATAATGAGCACTAAGTAAAATCTCTCTATAACGAACTAGTGTTCCATGTCGCAATCCAAAAAAGGAAACAAAATGGTCGTAAAGGTGGTTGCAACCAGTGGTTGCAATCATTTTTATATGACGCAAAGGTGGTAGCAACCATCATCAAAAGTTGCAGCCGGTATCCTTATAACGAACTTCACTTTTGTCCCTGATTCAATGTTTTATAATTAATTTCTCTCTCTATAACGAACATCTTAGTAAACTCCCCCTATAATGAACAAAAGCAGAAAAATTACATATAGGGGCGAAGGGTTCATTATAGAGAGAGTGGACTGTAGTTGCTATTAAAAAAAGTGTATTTTTTAAAAAAAAATAGCACCAGTTACAATGCAATCATTGCAACTCGATCTTTACTGAATTTTTGGAATTGTGATGTTAAACAAATTATTAATCCCTGAAATTCTTGGTAATACCAATATTCACTTTGTCTGGTTTTGTTGCAGTATGTCCCAATTAAGAAATTTGGATATGCACAATTCAATCTTTGGACTTGATTTTTTTTTTACATAATAATAATTGATGCAATATTAAGTTCTAATTTCCAAGTTTTAAATATTTATTTTAGAATTTGTTTATAGAAAAGTATTAATTTTTTTTATAATGAAACATTTTACCTAAATTGACATAATAATATATCACTGGATGAATTAGAAAGTTGTATCAAGCAAATTTATTAACTTTGTGATATTTACTTAATATTTTCAAACAAAAATGAATTTGTATAATGGACTTCTTTCAAGGATGGCTATTAACAAAATGTCAGTTAACTTGAAGAAAAGAAAGATTTGTTGATTTTTGATTAAAGTTTCATTAATGATCAGTATATAAAATTCAATGTGAGTGTAACATCATACATTAGTAGTTTTCTGCAGATAGTTCCTAAATTTATAAAAATCTGCACTGAAATTTATACACTGTTAATGATTATTAACAGTTTTAATTATACATATATATATATATTTAGTATATATAGTATATCACTTTGCAAGTTACATAGATCTTGCTTTTAACACTTCAGTCAACTGCTATATAACTATGAATAACTGACAAAATATTCAGCAAGTATAACGATTTAGAAATACTTTTATTTATATATTTAATAAATAATATTAATAATAAGCACAAATTATACTTGCATGAAAAAAGTTGTTGAGTTTTATGGTAATTTTATGATTATAATTTGAAGCTATTGATTATTTTTTGATAGGCTTGTAAAGCAGTTAAAAATAAACGTAATACATAATTTTGGAGGTTATATGGACATTTATTTAATAAAGCCTTCACCAAGTTTTCTTTGTAAAAAAGCATTATTCTTAATTTTCAAAGAAAAGATCTGCATAAAAAAATTTTTTCTAAAGATTTCTAGATTATCTGTATTATTACAGTATTTAGAAATTCCATATTTGGTAATAACCCTGACCATATTAATGATTATTCAAAGCAAAATACCAATCATTGACCATCTTAATAAGGATTTTATAATTACCCAGCAAAGATCTACTCCATATTTTGATCAAATAAAATATTTATAATAGCTAAAAAAAAAGTACTTATTAACATGTCTTCTTTAGGAGACCTGCATTTTGTCATCTTTAAAAAATAAGATTGTTTTTCCAAAAAAAAAAAAACAATTATGTCAAAAAAAAAGTCTCTGTACAACACCAATTGCCAATAATAATATATAACATGATTCTTCTTTTTTTTTCAACATAACTCTTTTAAAATGTCACTGTTTCAAAGAATACAAAAAAAAAAGAAAACAAGAAAATGAACTGGTCGAAAGAGGGTAAGGGTTTATTATAAGAATGGTGGTTATTTTCACTCTAGTTTTAATTAATTATATCACTATTTAAAATCTTTTGAATTATAGAAAATGATGAATCGGAATATTTTGTATATTACAATACTCTTAAACATTTTTAAATAAATAATTGACTCAAAACTTAAGAGTTATTGCAAATCAAAAAAAAAAAAAGGCTTAATATATAACTTTTTTTTTCCCAGAGGTTGAGCTATTACCACAGAATAAATTGCATAAAAAACTTGGTAATATTTGTTTTCAAAACTTTTGAAATGCCTTTTTTCCTATTTGATTTTTTTTTGGAAAGATTCAATCCCAAGTATTCTATATGAATTATATTTATTTGATTTATATAATGTTAATAGAGGACAATGATGAAAATTACTTTGATATATTCAAAAATTAAATAGTGTGTTGGAAATATCAACAAACAAAGGTGAAGAATTATTTTCATTTATCAAAGAGAATTTTGATAAGTTGAGGAATGAAGAAAAGGGCTATTATTCGTAAGAAATTGATTATTAGCATTTGTTTCTATCTCAAGTTTTACTGAAATTTATTTATTCTTGTTTAGCCCTCTCTGATGGACATCAGGTAATTAATTTAGCATAAATTTGTGTAAATCTTATGTTGCTGACATAATATTGTGTAAATCTTAGGCACTGATGTAAGTTTTACACTTTTTATTATTAAACTTATGATTGACACATGCAAATTTTTTTTATATTTTCTGGATGGAGGTTTGTTGATTTTAGACATCTGACCTAAGGTTGTGGGCGAAACCTCTTAATGACTGTTGAAACTCTGTTGAAACTCTAATGAACAATTAATGTGTAACCTGTCGAAACTATGATGATTGGCGAAAACCCCAAATGCGAAACTCTGCCAAAACTCTAATAAACAATTAATGTGTAACCTGCCGAAACTCTGTCGATTGATTTCTGGAGGAGTTTCTCCCGCAACCTTACTCTAACCATCACAAATAAATCACATCAGATCATATCTGCACAATAACAAATTATATGTAAGATGTGAAATTGTTACAAAGCAAGTGTGCAATATTATTCACTAGGGAGTGGCTGTATATATATTATAATGAAAGATAATTTAGAATGTATAATCTATAAATATACATGTTATCATTTTTGACTCAGGTATAATCTCATAATACATTAACAAACATATTAATAACAAGTTTATCCAAGATAAAATTCTTGTTTTTTTTATTATTATAAGCATTTTTATGTTTATAGATGGATGATAAAATACAAAATGAGATAAAAATAAAATGTTAAACAATGTATGTAAATGCTTGAATATAAAAATTCTACAATAGAAATGATGGTAACTTTGATCACAAAGAAGATTTAATTTAAAGCATATGATTAGAGATGTTCCAATGCGCACTGCATTGTGCGCACATAATTTTTGAAATCATGCTCATGTAATTTTTTTTGTACATAGTAATAAATGTAACACAAAAAAAATTAAATTTTTTTTTAGAAAATTTTGGTCACAATTACTACATTATAAACAACATACTGGCTTGTTTGACAATTCTTTAGCATGGTCAACTATAGATGAAGCAGATTTGGTAACATGGTGTAAAGGGAATTTTTTATTAGTTGCCCCTGAACTAACTAATCTTGCTGTACAAATTCTTTCAATCCTACATCTTCAGCAGCACCCAAAAGAAATTGGCCTGCATTCTCATATATACATGATAAAAAAAGAAATAGACTAACATCTGGTATGGTTTTCAAATTAGTGTTTATTTATTTTAATTATAATTACAAAAATCAAAAAAATCAAAAGATAATGTCAATGGAAACACTATGATACTGGTAATGATAATGAGGAACAGGAAGATGATGTTAGTGAAGTGAAAATGATGATAGTGATGTATATACATCTGAATCAGTGACTAATATTAGTAATTAAATCTGTTTTGTTTTTTTTAATAATAATAAAAATTTTTTTTAAAAAATAAAAAAGATCGGCAGATGCAGTGCGCATCATGCGCATGAAGTTTGAAATTTTCATGCAATTTCCCATCCCTATCTACAACAAATTATTTTTTTGAGAAAATCTCTCTATTACATTAAAACTAAAGGCATATTCTATCAACTAACAGAGTAATTTTTTTAAAAGGTAGGACAGAAAGTGACTTCTATACTTTTAAATTTGCCCGAAATTTAGGAGGTCTTTAGACCGAGCCAACTATAGAGTTTCCAGCTGCTCTAGAGAGTATCAATCTATTTTTTCTTTTAGGTGGGACTTATGGCCAGAATTTCTATTCGTAATACACATTCTTATTTGAATTATTTGTATACAACTCAATCTTAATTCGAATTTATTCATTTTATTTGAATTACATACCAAATTAGAAATGCTGAAAATAACATTTCAAATTATGGCTGCCCAATCGTGTTTCGGACATGTGACCTAACCTCTCGTGTTTAATTTTTTTATATTCGAATTTTTATTTATATCGTTTAAATTAATTTTAAAAGAAAAGATTAACGTCACTTTTTGACCAAGTACAAGTTAAAACATTCGAATTAAAATTTAAATTAATATTTCGGGTCTTGTTTTATAAGAGTAGAATTTCTATTCGTAGTTTTATTCGTTTTGTTCGAATTACTCGTTTATTCGCTTTATTCGCTTTATTCGTTTTATTCGTTTTATTCGCTGTTTTATTCATTTTATTCGATTACTCGTTTTATCAAATTATTTGTTTATCAAGTTATTCATTTTATTCAATAAAAATTATTGTTGTTTTAAACGTTGCGCATGACTTGTTTATGAGGACGATGATCATTGCTTATTTGGTATGTAATACCGAGTATTCATGTGTAACCGAATATTCATTGAATATTTGAATATACATTCAAATGATTAATATCACTACGTTTTATTCATTATTTGAAGTGTTTGTTTTATTTGTGTAAGCATTTAATGTAATTCGAATACTCAAATTCATAATGAATAAAATAAATAATTCTTATTCGAATAGAAACCTACTACGACTATTTGCTAGTAAAAGGGAAAAAACAACTATTGAAAAAAAGAGAAAACTTTTTAATTGGATAGTGCATATACTATATTACTATCAGTTATTATTATTATTATTACTATTATTATTATTATTATTATTATTTATTATTATTATTATGATTATTATTATTATTATTATTATTACTATTATTATTATTATCATTATTATTATTATTATTTTAATGATTCGTTTTATACGAATTTGCCAGTTAAAAACTTTCACGTGATTAAATTAACCTGTTAGCCGATTAATAAGTTAACCGGTTATAGTTAGCCATTTCTAAAATTAACCGGTTAACTCTTAATTTTTATGGTTGGTACCGGTTATAAAATTGTCACAATGGTAAACAATTTTGAACCCTGAACTTTCATTGTAGCACAAATGCCCAAAAAAACGAAGTACTCGAACATTTTTGCAATGTTTGTTTTCGAGTATTCCTAAAAGGAAATGTTTTCAAGTATTCGTAATGAATGTTTCAAAACTAATGGATTCTTTTTTAAAATGCTTTTTGGGGCTATGTACAAAACTTTAGCCAAATTTAGTTTAGACGCCCAATGAATAATTTTAATAATAAACATTTAAAACCTAAATCTATCTAAAAGTAACGAAAACCCCCTAAATAACTTCTATTAAAAAATATCTCCAAATAAAATATATCCCAAATAAAAACCCTTAAACAAACACCCGTATAATCTATAATAAGATATAATCTATTTTCATATATACATATATCATAATATTTAATAAAAGTCTATTATAAAAAAATATCTATATTATATAATGTTTTTATATATTTATATATTTATATATGTTATTGCTCCCATTTTTGAAATAAATCCATAATATCATTTTTCATTCCTTTAACAATACGACTTCTCATCTCTTCGTCACGCTGTCTAATCAAATCTTTCAACATGTCGATCTGACGTTCTTTATCCTCCAACATACCAACAGCTTTAACCAAACGTTTTTGAAACACAGAAATTGTTTCATTGGGATCATTAGGTGGGAATAAAAGTTCTGCAAATGAAGAAGAAGATGAAGTTATTGCTGTTGTTGTATCATTTGAACCAGCAGCACTATTATTAGCTGCTGCTGTAGTAGTAGTAGTTGTTTCTGAAGATTCAGGATTTGGATTATTATTATTGGAAGATTGTTGCCAAAACCAACTAAGTGGTGATGTGTTATTATTGTTGTTGTCATTAGTTGTTGAAGTTAATAATTGTTGCTGCTGCTGCTGCTGACGATGATGATGATGTTGATTATCTCTTTTTTGAGAAAATCTAAAAGTTTCAAATCTTCCAGAAGGCGAGACAATGTCACCACTACCACCACTATGTTTTCTTCTGACACTTTTTTGTATAGATGTAAATGATTGAGATGTGTCATTGCTATTATTATTGTTGTTGTTGTTATTATTATTATTAATAGTATTATTGTTATTAGTATTACTATTAGCAACAGCAGTATTATTAATAGGACCACCGCCGACAGAAATACTACGCCATCTTATTAGAGTTCCACCACCACCAGTGGTAGTATTATTTGTTGTCGAAGAATTAAGACGATGATGGAGACTTCCAGATTCACCAAAATTATTAATGTTTGTTGGTGAAGGATTCGGGGTTGGGATGTGTTGGGATATAGAAATATTTTTTGGTTTACCCAATAACTGCGTTCCTTTACCTCTATTTGTAGCATGCTATATTGAAAGAATATAAGTGATTGAATGTGAGTGGAGGGGTAAATAAGAATTTATTATTATAAATAAAATTAAAAGGAGTATGAATGAGAATGTAACAGCAAATACCTGAACTACACTTCTTCTTCTTAAATTACCCTCAAATGATCTTGATGATTTTCTTGCGTTAGTATTATTAGTAGTAGTAGTAGTAGTAGAAGAAATAATTTCATCATCAATTTCCATCCTTCTACTATCATCGTCGTCATCATCATCGCTATCCTCCAATTCCACTTCAAAAACCACCAATTCAGTTGGTCGTCATCCCCCCACCAAAGATGACATGATCGAATCAAATTTTGCCAATAAATATATTGATTTCAT